TATGTTGAGGGTGATTTCGAAAAAGTCAAGGTGAGTAAGTCCGAGTCTTCATTGCTCTGTATAGTTCCTATGTAAATAGTTTAGAAATGAAGGAAGTACCACTAGTTATAATGGTAAAATAAAGAAATCTGAACCTAGCCAGAAAGGCCAAGGGAAATTAATTTTGAGAATAACCTGCCACGCATAGAATAAACTTAATTCTTAAATACGTTACAGATATCTTTGTATGGTTAAAGACCTTATAAGGATAAAGTCTTAAGGGAGAAACCTAGGATGATTTTTAGTTCATCTCCTATTTTATAGTTGAGCTAAAGCAAGTTATTACTTGTACAGATTTAAATAACTAATGAAAATTAGAACCATTCTTGTTGCTTTGTAATAAATTTCAGTGAAGTAGAATTAATTGTGCAAAAAGAAGACTCTGCTCCGTCCGTTAGCCTTCCTGTCGCACCTGTCGTCTTCAGACCTACACATCCATTCATTGAGCAAGTACTGAGTGCCTGCTGTGTTTTACGGCAGGCATCATCTTCGAAGAGTTTTGCTATAGAGGAAGGTAAAACATCAAGCACATTGATAGTTAAAGTGTTTCACCTTGCAGACCTCTGGGGAGAGATTTCTATGGATTTAGAAGTTGTGCTCATCTCAGGCAAAATACAGGACTTGATGACATGTGGCAAAAAGTTTTTTTCTTCACGGAAGCTAGCAAAGGAGACAGAAAGGGAATACAAGGTGAGAGAGATGGTTTATCACTACCCTTTTCCTTCGAGATGTATTTTTCAAATAACAAGTATATATATAGGGTTGACTCTCTATGTAGTGTTTTGGTAAATGGTGGAAAAGAAACATGAAAGGGTAACATGGTCTCTGCCCTCACAGAACTGACCTGTTGAAAACAAGACTCGTTTGTAGCAAGGGGATACCCACCATGCAGTCTCCCTTTCTTCTTTTTGCCCACATGAGATAGTTCTCTAAAGGCTTTTTCATCTCATAAGGATTTAGGCCTTAATTAATCTCTTTATTTAAAAAATAAAAGCCTGGTTATAGTAATTTTCAAATATTTACAAAATTGGAGGTAATAGTACAGCGAACCCCAGCCCCCATAGCCAGCCTCCAGTTTCAGCCGCAATTATCATTTTGTTCTATTTACTTGTTCCTTGCCTGTTTTCTTTCCTTTCCTTTTCTCTTTTCCCTTCCCTTTCCTTCTTTTCTTCCTTTTATTATTTCAAAGAAATTTATGACGTTCTATATATTTTACCCTATATGACACAGAAGTGTATTGTAACATTATTTTCAATGCCTGTATTTTATCATAGATATTTAGTAAATACACCTAATCTATTCCCTCATGATGGGCATTTTCATTATTGTTATTACTGTAGTTTATTCCTTGTGAATATTACTTCCTTAACACTTTTACATACACATGGGGCATTCTCTTGGAATGGAATTTACCGGAAATGAAATTGCTGAAGCCAAGGGTATGCACCTTTTACAAATCTCTACTTAATACCAGACCAATCTTCAGAAATGCAGTAATTCTTACTCCCATCAGCAATGTGCCTGTATATCTTTGCTAATCTGGATTTTGTCACTCTATTAATTGTAACAATCTCCTACTATCGTAGATTAAAAAAAAATTATGTGCATTTAAAAATTATTAAGGCTAGACATCTGTATTCTTCTTATGGACCATTTATATTTCTTCTTTTGTGAGTTCAGGCTAATTTTTCATAAGCATCATTTTCATTATTTTTACTCAGAAAACATAGTATCATTATTTCTTATACCTGATGTTCAAGACTCTTCACAATTGGGCCCTAACCTATTTTCCTAACTTAATACTATCTGGCAAGAGTCATTCTACTCCAATAAGTAGTTTCTCATTCTTAAACTTCTTCCAATTCATTTTTTTTTTCTTGGATTCACTTTTAAGAATTTTTTTTTACTTGTTAATGTTTTACTTTCTCCTTTTCCTCTGTAAGTTCTTCAGAATCCTTATAGTCCCTCTTGTGGTATCACTGCAAGCTCTGTAGGCTTCTGTCAGTTTCCTCTTACTGAACTTCCACTGTACCTACTGTTTCTACCGCTGGATTTAGTAGCAAATTATAGTCTGCTTTGTTGTGTTATATCAGGCACACGCTGTGGCTGGGGCCGTGAATACAACAGCTGTGAGTGAACATAGTCTGGGTCCATGTGAAATTCATAGTATCCTAATGAGGCATGTATTTCCATACCTTTGCCTTTAGGGAGTTGAACTTCTTCCAGTCCGCCTCTGTTATATGGGAATTATACATAGATTTTGAGATGTGTACTTACATGCCCCTAGCTGGACTGTAAGATTATTGAAGGTATAAACCATGTTTTCTTTCTTTCTTTCTTTCTTTTTTTTTTTTTTGAGATTTTATTTATTTGACAAAGAGAAAGAGATCACAAGTAGGTGGGGAAGCAGGCTCCCCCTGAGCATAGAACCCTTTGAGGGGCTCGATCCTAGGACCCTGAGATCATGACCTGAGCCGAAGGCAGAGGCTTAACCCCTGAGCCAGCCAGGCACCCCTAAACCATGTTTTCTACTTCTCTATTCCTTATAGCACTTAACTCAGTTCTCAGCATGTAGCCATCGCTAAGTATATACTCGCTCTGTCAACGTAGTAACAGAAGTTGTAGACTTTGGAGTCACCTCCCTGACCTCATGGACACTGACTGTGTAACACTTGCAAGTTACTTAGCCCTTCTGAGCTGGTTTCCTTATGTGTAAGGTCATGTATGGAAAGCATTTAGCACAGTGTTTGGTACAGACTAAGTGTTCATTGAAAGATACCTCCTTTTCTAATAGACCTATCGAACCAGAAACCACCTCAACAGACTGCCTAGCTCCTGTCATCTAAGACTTACTAGATTCTGTTCAGTTTCTTCAATTATCTTTTTTTTTTAAAGATTTTATTTATTTATTTGACAGAGATCACAAGTAGGCAGAGAGGCAGGCAGAGAGAGAGAGGAGGAAGCAGGCTCCCTGCTGAGCAGAGAGCCCAATGTGGGGCTCCATCCCAGGACCCTGGGATCATGACCCGAGCCGAAGGCAGAGGCTTTAACCCACTGAGCCACCCAGGTGCCCCAGGTTCTTCAATTATCTTGTCCTCTCCTTTTATTCCTCATTGTAACCCACAATAAGAAAGGCATTTCATTTTGTGGTTTAGTATACACTCTGCTTATTTGCAGGTATGGGAAACAAAAGTTCTACAAAGTAATATTCACTGTTACTATGTATGACACTCTGCTTTTTTCTATTGTTAAGGAAAGCTGATTACAGCCATTAACACATTTCAGAACAACAGTTCAAAACACATGCTGGATTTTTGGAATTTGCAGAAGTTGGACTACTACCCAGTCACACAGCTGTGACTTTTCAGTGACAGAGAAACTGGGATGAAGGGACAGAGGCTCGGGGCTCATTCTGACTCTGCGCTCTCTCTCTTCCCCCTGCATTCTGTGTAGTTAGATTCTCCTGTTGTGATTCTGGGCTCGCTGCTCTGGGCAGGAGTGTGCAGTCGTGCATGGTCCAGAGCGGCTACCACAGGAGGTTACCCGGGAGTTGGGACAGACCTTACCACCTTGGCAAGAGAGAAATTTCTCAACCACTTCTTGAGTATATTGTTTCTCTTAGGAAATCGACATCCATGGGTTTTAAAATTGTTGGCATAGTTCTCAAAAAGGGGCCTGAAAAAAACCTTTTTATTACAGAAATTTATAAACATTTAAAAAATAGGCGGAATAGTATAATAAATCCCCATTACCTAAATTTAATTTCACTGATTATCAACATTATGTCCATTCCAAGTAGAACTTTTAACCAAGAACTTTCAAGACATACACAGTTCCCTTCCTTAGTACACACAGATGATCTTTATTTCAGAAGATGTATGTCAGCCTTAGTGTACGTTCTGTGCTTGAGTGCTCGCAGCCTGGTCATTTTACTTGATGCCTGCAAGAGGAGTAAGTAATTCTGTGACAGGAGGGAGCAGGGGTGCGGGGGGTGGCTTCTGTGGAGGACTGCTGGAACCCCAGACCTGTGTTCCCCAGAGATGCAGCCGCCTTGTTGACCAAACTGCTCTTAGGGGAGCCGACATTCATTGCATTTATCTTCTGTGGAAAACCTTTGATTCTTTGTTCCCTACCCTATCTATGGAACAAAAATCCCAAACCATAGATTTTGCTTTATGAACTGGCTCCAGCCTACCTTTCTAGTTTTCGCTTCTGCTCTCTGTCTCTTCCCTCCCATATTCAGCTGCTTCTTACTGCTAAAATACTCAGTCCATTTTGGGCTTGTGATTATTTTTCAAGATTCAGTTTAGATTCGTCTTGTAGGTGAGAGCTTTTTAACTACCTCAGAAGTATGTCGTCCTCTGAGTGTTTTTTCATTTGTTGGGCGTGAGTGTGTGTGTGTGTGTATGTGTGTGGCCACTTAACTGAGTTGTATATATTAGTTTATGTTTGCTTTCTTCCCTACCCTTAATTAGACGGTGCTCCTCCTCCAAAGCAGGGGCTATCTCCTAGTCTTGTCTCCTGAGCACTTCTCTGCTGCCTGCACATAGTAGGCATCCAGTGATGGTTTGTTGGATGACTGTATTTAGAGTTTTAGACTCTGATTTTAATACATGTTCTCTCCAGAGAAGACTTCATCCGAGTTTTGGGGGTTTTTTTTCTCATTTTGTTTTGTATATTTTTCAGTTTTTTCCCCTCCCCTCCTTGGGGATGTCCGTGTAAATTTCTAAAGAGAACTTAAGTTCTGTAGCCTTTTTCTTGGGGTAAAAATACCTTGGTAAACTAGTATAGAGTGCCCACCTTCAGTGCTCCTGCAGCAAAGGTAAGTAAGGTCTGCGTTCATTATGCTTCATTTTCTTGCTGTTGTTGAACAGTGTGGTTTTTATGGAGCTTAAAAAGCAAACTGGGGTGGAGTAGATTTGTGCTTATAATAGCCTTGACCAATTTCTGATATATTTCAGCTCATGGAATGCTGTGTAAATGCCCTGGTGACATCCTTTAAGGAGACTATCTTAGCAGAGTGCCAAGGCATGATCAAGCGAAATGAAACTGAAAGTAGGTAAAACATCACGTAAAGTTCTCATAATCTTTTAAGAGGGTATCTTTGAAGCAGATTACTTTTAATAAGCTGCTGTTAGATCATCCTTTTCTACATAGGTAAATTTGTAACAGTAGACTGTGCTTAAAGAAAATGATAAAATACTTAACACAGCAGTATTGCAAAGAAGGTTATAAATTTACGTTTTAAACATCCCACCCTTAGGTATCAACATCTGTTTGTAGAAAATGGCAGTGGGTTTCAGTTTGTTCTCAGATGTAGGGCTCTGCTTTTAAAGACTAATTAAAAGGACAAACATCTGGGAAAGACTAGAACTAGGTGTTTGGCTTCTGTGTGGAACTTTGTGGCGAGTATTTTTAGAAAGTAATAGGACACTCCTTGTTCATGATCTCCCTCCCTCTTCCCTAAAATATGTTACAATTTAAGGTTTCTGCAAGTGTGCTTTTTTATTACTGACAAGTTTTCTTAATAAAGATATATTTTGGGATGTTGCGAGTACATTACAACCAATATGGTAAAAACTCGAACGCATTCCTCTCCAGGTTTCACTGTGTATGAGTGCAAGGTCCTGTTTAGTCTCTAGTTGCATTTAAAGTGTGCATTTCGGTCAGTTAGGCTCGTACACTTGTAGTTTTATAGTAAAAAGCTCATTGGCATAGACGAAATCTTAGAATCTGTGTATGCCAGGCTAAATAGATCCGTGCTGGGCTCCATGTGGGCTCCCTTCAGAAGGATATGTAGTGGTAGCTGCTTCCGTGCAGTGGGATTTTTGTGAAGATCAGTTACATGGTATAACAGGAGAAAGTGCTTTTATAAACTGAGAAATTCCTTACGAATACAGTTTTATATTATCTCTAATACACTTTTATAATCACTTGAAATAATCTGATGATGGGATTTTTTTTTTTTTTTTTGCCACTTGATGATGTGGTGCTGTATATGTAATACTGCATTTACTTTATGAAATATACTACCCTTCTGTGTAAACTTTTGTACTATTTAGGTTTAAAAATATTCCATTCTCATATGATCTCATTGATATGGGGAATTTAAGATACAAGGCAGAGGATCATAGGGGAAGAGAAGAAAAACTGAAACAAGGTGAAACCAGAGAGGGAGACGAACCATTAGAGACTCTTAATCTTAGGAAACAAACAGGGTTGCTCGAGGGGATGTGGGTGGGGGCCTGGGGTAACTGGATGATGGACTCTGGGGAAGGTATGTGTTGTAATGAGCACCGGGTGTTCTGTAAGACTGATGGATCACAGACCTGTGCCCCTGAAACAAATAATACATTATATGTTAATTAATTGAATTTAAATGTAAGAAAAAAATAAAATAAATAAGTAAAAATATTCCATTGAGTTGAAGGTCAAATGACTCACCTTGTAAGAGGAGTTAGGTTTTATGGTGTGTGATCACTTTTAATTAGAGTTTCTTTTAAAAATAATTTTTGTCAGAGTAGGTGAAACCGTAAGTTATAGTACTTAGTAGGAAAAACTCCTAATTATACCTACAGAATACTGCTAAGGTTTTCAATTTCCAACTATTATTTCTCCAGACTTTTACTATCCTAGGAATTCTAGACCCAAGATACAAATGAAAGAAAAAATGTATTTTGATGGATGAGATGATGATTTGAGTGTGTTCTATCGTTTCAGAATTACATTTGATGTTTTCGCTGATGGACAAAGTTCCCAATGGGATAGAGCCCATGTTGAAGGACTTGGAGGAACATATTGTGAGTGCCGGCCTGGCAGATATGGTAGCGGCTGCTGAAACTATTACTACCGTGAGTGTCCTCAGGGGCGGGGGTGCACGTATGTCAGCGTTGTTCTTTAAATGAGAGATTGGGTACTTAAAATAGTAATTGATGACACAACGGTAATGTTGGAACGTCTTTTAATATCAAGAATTTTTCAGAGAATTTCTCAAATTTTAGAGCTACAGTGTTTTATTAAAATTTTGTTTATATTTTCTCATTTTTTGGTGTTTTCTTTTTTAAAAACTTCAATTGAGTATAAAACATTTTATTTTTAGGATTCTGAGAAATACGTTGAACAGTTACTTACATTATTTAATAGATTTAGTAAACTCGTCAAAGAAGCTTTTCAAGATGATCCGCGATTTCTTACTGCAAGAGATAAGGTATATATTCTTGTATAGTAACGGTATTGTCATAATTTACTTTAAAAAGGAACTTGTACCATTATGCTACTGAATTATAAACTAAAAATATAGCAACCCTGATTTTTTATCAGTGGAGGACAACCATTTTTATTGTATTTGGTTTGTTATATGGTTTTGTAAGAATTGGGTATGCTTGTGAACTAGAATCTAGCTAGGAAATTTGTCTTCATTTTTTTGAGATTTTTTAAAAATATTGAATTCCTATTGATCCATCCTTTAAGACCCACCTCAAAGTACACTTCTCCTGGAACTTCCGTGATACCCTTCCTCGCCCACACCCTGTCCTCCAGCACAGTTTGTTCTTCTGTCCTCTGCCCTTTTCATAGGACTCCTGGGGATCAGGTCCCATTTATCCCACTTCCCTTGCCCCTTTCTCCTGTCCTTACTAGTATGGGATAATAATGAAACAGGGTATTATCCTTCAGGTTTTATCTTTTTTAAGTTTGTTTTGTTTTGTTTTAATTTAAAGAGAGAGAATGTGCATGGGGGCCGGGGGCAGAGAGGGAGAGAGAGAATCCCAAGCAGACTCCCCACTGAGCTTGTAGCTCCACACAGGGCTCCATCCCATGAACCTGAGATTACAACCTGAGCTGAAATCAAGAGTTGGATGCTTAAGTGACTAAGCCCCAGCGTTTTATCTTTTTAAATGTCATAAACCTATCACTAGAAGTTAGTGTCGGTTTTTTCACTTTGATCTACCTTTCTTATTTCTTATTTCTTATTTTTTTTTCTTTCTGTAACTCTAAAAAGACCATCAATTTTCTCCAGTAGGGTTTTTTCCCCCCATTTTTAGGTGGGTAGGTAGGTAGGTAGAGAAAGAGAGAGAGGGTAAGAATGGCTTTAAGGGAGGCTAGAGGTGTAGTGTGCGTTAGTTTGAAATATTAAATGGAGTGGCCAGCAAAAGCTTTGTTGAGGGGGCATCTGAATCAGGATTGAAAGTAATTAAGAAATGAAGTCATATGGCTTTCTGAGGGAAGAGTATCCAGCAAAAGGGACAGCTTAAAAAGCTGTAAGGCAGGAGTTTACCTGTCACATTCCAGGAACAGGAGGAAAAAAGGTCAGTGTGGCCCGAGTGGATGGAGTGAGGGGAGAGGAGTAGGAAATGAAGTCAGAGACAGTAGGAGGCCAGATCACGGAAGACCCTGAGCTAGGGAAGGCAGTTTGGTTTTCACCCCGAGGAGGATCGAAAGTCATTAGAAGGTTTTGAACAGAATGGATATGACTTACATTTTAACAGGGTTACTTGGTTGCTGCAAAAAGAATTGACTGAAGGGGGGCAAGAGAAGAAGTAAGAACATTGGCTAAGAACCTATTTAAGTAATTCATAAAGTAATGATGGAGGCTGGGCCCGGAACGATAGTTGTTAGAGGCAGTCAGAATCGGTCGGATACTGATTATGACAACAGACTGCACGAGATTTGCCAATGAATCTGATGTAGAATGTGATAGAAAGAGACCAGTCAGGGATAACATTTAAATTTTTGTTCTGATTGATTAGAAGCACATGCTTGCTGAGATGGAGAGGATGGTAGGAGAGGCAGGTTTTCGGAGGGTTGGTCATTAGATTAGGAGCTCAGTTTTGGACAGGTTAACTTTGAAACGTTCATTAAACATCTGTGTGGCAATGTCAAGTGTGGCGTATAAGGGAGAGAACAGACCTGAATAATAAATTTGGGAGCTTTAACATACGGATGGCATTTAAAGTGCTGACACCGGCCATGCTCACCAGTGTAATGAGTGAGGATGGAAAAGACAAGAGATCCAAGGTCTGGCCTGGGGCACTGTCAGTTTTGTTACGAGAAAGATGAAGATCCAGCTTTCGTGAGGAGAGAGCAGAGTGAGTGGAAGGAGCCGGAAAGTACAGTGTCGTAGACAACACGTGGAACAAGCGCTTCCAGGATGAGGGCGTGGTGTGCTGGTTTTAAAGAGCCGCTGCCGGGGCGCCTGGGGGGCTCAGGCGGTGAAGCGGCCACCTTCGGCTCAGGTCATGGTCCCGGGGTCCTGGGATCCAGCCCCGTGTTGGGCTCCCTGCTCAGTGGGGCATCTGCTTCTCCCTCTCTTCCTGCTCATGCTCTCTCTCACTCTCTCAAATAAATAAAAATAAAAAATAAATAAAATGCTGCTGTGTCTTGTAAGATGGGGGTTAAGCATTGTCTTCTGCACGGAGGTTGTGAGTGACTTTGGCAAGAACGAGTGGGTTGAGCGGTGCTACCAGTGCCTGGTTGTGGGGAGGGTTTTTCCAGTAGGAGTGGCAGCAGAGAAAGTGGAGACCGTGCGTTAGGTAATTCGTGCAGGAAGTTTTTAGCTTAGGGGGATAAATGACGCAGGAGCTGGAGGTGAGCCAAGGCAAGAGAGAATGTTTAGATTTAAATAATGATCTATTTGTGTGCCTAGGAACAGTGGACGGGGAAATATGATAGAGGAGAAATGAGAGGGAATTCTGTTCACCTCGGTTTTATTAGCATCACGGGGAGTCCCATCCTCTCGGAAAGTCTCCGTAGGAAGTAAATGGGGGAGGCTGAAGGGAAAGACGATGTGTGAAGTGTGTTCTGGGGGTGTGCATAGAGAGAATGGTACGGCCGTCAGGCAACACTAATACCCCACTTGAGAATAATGACGGTCCTGACGTGAGAGGGAACAGGCTGAAGTCGTGGCTTGAAAAATTCTGTCAGGCCACAGACACCGTTAAAATACCAAACTATATTTTAAATATTAAAAATAATGTTCATTTCATTGTAAATTCTTTGCAGGCATATAAAGCAGTTGTTAATGATGCTACCATATTTAAACTTGAATTACCTTTGAAGCAGAAAGGGTAAGTTTTTAAAAATCACGTTTAAAATTCTTAACTTTTTTGGAGTGTATTAGACATTATTGGGTATGTGTGGTGTCCTGTCTCCCTAAAATCTGTTAGGTTTGATTTTTGCTGCTGGTTTTTTTTTTTTTTACTTTTATGATTTTTACTGCCTTTGAATATTAAAAACTCTGTCTTTAATTTCATATTATCTCCCATGGTGATCAAAAAATGTTGATCTTGGGCACCTGGGTGGCTCAGTGGGATAAGCCACTGCCTTCGGCTCAAGTCATGATCTCAGGGTACTGGGATCAAGTCCCGCATCGGGCTCTCTGCTCAGCAGGGAGCCTGCTTCTTTGTCTACTTGTGATCTCTCTCTGTCAAATAAATAAATAAAAATCTTTAAAAAAAAATGTTGATCTTATTTTTTTAAGTAGAAAAATGTTCTTAATCTTTTAGAATCTCTGTGTGATTTTTTTTTCTCCTTATTAGTCTCTAAAGTTACTTTATTACTTATAAAAACACAGAATATAACTTAATTCACCATACTGAAAGAGGGAAGTCAATTTTAATGTAAATATTTATATTGCCATTTAAAAAAATCCAAAATATAATGAATTAAATGGATACATTAATAAATTAAATTTACAAATTGGTAAAGCTGAGCTAGTTACGGTACCTTTAGAGTAGTACTAAGCACTAAGGTTCATTGGAAAAATGTTTTGATATACTTTCTAGCTAAGAATTGCTATTTTAGGGGCATCTGGGTGGTTCACTAGGTTAAGTGTCTGCGTTTGGCTCAGGTCATGATCCCAGGGTCCTGGGATTGAGCTCGACGCCCGCTTGGCAGAGAACCTGCTTCTCTCTCTGTCTGCTGCTCCTCTGCTTGTGTTCCCTCTTTCTTTCTTTCTCTCTCTGACGAATAAAATCTTTTTAAGTGTTGTTGGTTTTTTTTTAGATTTTTTAAAGTTCTTTTTTTTTTTAATTATTTGAGACAGCACGTGCATGTACATGTGCTTGAAGGGGGGAGGGGCAGAGGAGGAGAGACTCAAGCAGACTCCCTGCTGAGGACTTCCGGTGTGTTCATCCTCCCTGAGAATGACCTCGGCCACTCCCTCCCCCTGCCTCCTTCCCGAGGCAGCTGTCGATCTGATTATTGCAGCTGATTACTTTTGCCTGCTCTAGGACTTCATAAAATGGAATCGTACAATATGTACTTTTGTGTGTAAAGTTTCTCTCAGTGCAGCACAGTGTTTTGTGATTTGTCCGTGGTTTTGCACACCACAGTGGTTGGTTTTCCCTGGTGTTTGTACTGCTTTACCCTCCCACCAGTGCCAGTGGATCCTCATTTTTTTTTTTTAAAGATTTTATTCATTTATTTATTTGACAGACAGAGATCACAAGTAGGCAGAGAGGCAGGTAGAGAAAGAGGGGGAAGCAGGCTCTCCACCGAGCAGAGAGCCCGACGCGGGGCTCGATCCCAGGACCCTGAGATCATGACCTGAGCTGAAGGCCGAGGCTTTAACCCACTGAGCCACCCAGGCGCCCCTGGATCCTCATTTTTACCGACATTTAGTGTTATTTTAATTTTAGTCATCCTAGATGTGTGTAGTATCATCTTGGTGTGGTTGTAATTCCATTTCCCTTAAGACTTAATTGGTGTCGAGCACTTTCTCTTGTACTGTTTGGGTTTCTTGTATTTTACTTAAGTATCTGTTCCACTCTTTTGCCTGTTTTGTCCCCCCCCCCCCAGCATTATTCCTTTTCATTAGGGGGCTATAACAGTTCTTAGATATTCTGTATGTAGACTGAGAGATACATGCTTTTCTTTTATGGTTTTTGCTTTTTTATGTTTTATCCAGAAAAGCTTTGTCTGTTTCTACCCCTATGACACGAAAGTAATCTTTTTTGTTTCTTCTAGAAGCTTTAGAATTTTAGCTTAAGATCCATCTTAAATAAATGATTATTTATATTGTAAGTAGGGGGTTAAATTTAATGTTTTTTTCCTTTTCCATATGGATAGCAACTGGTTTCATCATCATTTGTTGGAAATACTTACCATCCCCACTGCATTGCTTCAGTGCATTTTGTCAAAAATCAAGTGACTTAAAAATATGTGTGTTATTTCTGGGCTATTTTACTCCATTTTTTATTTGGATATCCTTAGGCCATTACTACATAGTTCTAATTAATACAGTTCTGTGGTAAGCCAAGTAATTTAATTTTGTTCTTTTTTTCTGTGAACTCTTTTGATGTTCTAGTATTTTGCTAGTATATAGAAATACAGTTGATTGTTGTATATTGATTTTATATCCTGTTACCTTGTCAAAGCTATTCCAGTAGTTGTTTTGTAGATTTCTTTCTTTTTTTTTTTTTTAAATATTTTATTTATTTATTTGACAGACAGAGAACGCAACTAGGCAGAGAGGCAGGCAGAGAGAGAGAAGCAGGCTCTGCACTGAGCAGAGAGCCCGATGCGGGGCTCGATCCCAGGACCCTGGGATCATGACCTGAGCCAAAGGCAGAGGCTTCAACCCACTGAACCACCCAGGCACCGCTGTTTTGTAGATTTCTTAAGAGTTTTCTGTGTAAATAATCATGTAATCTGTGAATACTGTTTTACTCCTTTCTGATCTTCATACCACTTAGTTCTTTTTCTTGCCTTGCTACATGGTTAGGATCTTAAGTACCGTGTTGAATAGAAGTGGTAAAAGTGGGTGTCCCTGTCCTTTTTGTCAAGCTTGGGGGGACCTTTAATATTTATCGCTAGGTACAAAGTTAGCTGAGGGTTTTTCATATATGCCCTTATTTAGATTGCTTTTTATTTCTAGCTTGTTAAAAGTTTTGATAATGAATGGGTGTTGACTTTTATTAAATGTTTTTTCTGTGTTGAAATGATCATAGGGTTTTTCCTCTATATTGTGGTTTTTTGTTGTTGTTGTTTTATTTTTTATTTATTTATTTTTTAAAAGATTTTATTTATTCATTTGACAGAGATCACAAGTATGCAGAGAGGCAGGCAGAGACAGAGAGGAGGAAGCAGGTTCCCCGCGGAGCAGAGAGCCCGACACGGGGCTTGATCTTAGGACCCTGAGATCATGACCTGAGCCGAAAGCAGAGGCTTTAACCCACTGAGCCACCCAGGCGCCCCTGTTGTTGTTTTTTTAAAGATTTTACTTATTTATTTGTCAGAGAAAGAGTGAGCACAAGCAGGGGGAGCCGCAGGCAGAGGGAGAGGCAGACTCCTCACTGAGCAAGGAGCCTGAGACAGGACTTGATCCCAGAACACAGGGATCGTGACCTGAGCAGAAGGCAGACTCTTAACCAACTGAGCCACCCGGGGATCCCAGTACATTGGTTTTTCTTAAAAAATCACATTTAACCAGGGCTGAATTGCTAGGATAAACTCTACTTGGTTGTAATGCATATTATTCTTTTTATATATCCTGCACTCAGTTTGCTAATAATGTTGGTTAGATGTTTTTTTTTTTTTTTCATCTATATTCATGAAGGATTTGACCTCTTTCTTTTCTGGTCTTTGTGCCCTGTATAATTTTCATTTTTATCATGTCTTTGTCATTTTCTGGTATTAGGATTAAGTTGGCTTTGTAAGGAGGATTGATAGTTATTTCCTCCGTTTGTATGTTCTAAAAGAATGAGTGTAATTGGTATTACTTCTTCCTTACATGTTTGATAGAATTCATAAGTGAAATCATCCGGGCCTGGGGTTTTCTTTATGTGCAGATATTGATCCCAGGTTCAGCCTCTTCAGATTTCTTAAGTAACTTAGTTTTAGTTGTGGCCAGGTGTGTTTTTCGAGGCCCTTGTTCATTCTAAGTTGTCAGACTTACATTAGAGCCTCATTAAGATGAGAAATAACATTCACAAGGAAACAGGGCCAGATACCGTAGTTGTAAATGAGTATGTGTATCTCTAAGTTTGTCCACTGAGAGGACCTAGCAGCATTGACACCCCAAAAGCAAGGAACACAACTAGCACCAGATCTAGTCCACTAAATATTATTGTCCTTTGAAAGAAGTTAGGGCTGTGTGAAAAATGGCTGATTCTACCAGAAGTAGACTTCTTCTTGACCAAACTGCAACCCAGCCCCTGGTTGAATTAAAGTGATTGGCCTCCTCCAGAACAGAACAGAGCTTGAACCCACTCCTAATGGGAGCTGACATCATCTGGTGCCTCCGTGATGCTTTACATGTAGTGCCCAGTAATCAGGATGACGTTACCAGGCTTGTGAAGGCAGAGACACATACGCTCAATGAAGAGAAAAACCATTTTAGAAACAGACTGTCAAATGAACCCAATATTGGAGTTGGCAGATAAGGACTTTAAAATAATTAAGATCAATAGCTTAACCACAGTGATACACCACTCACCCCCACTAGAAGGGCTAAAATTGAAAAGACACAAGTATTTGTGAGGATGTGGCGAGATTGGATTCATTTATAGTTCTTCTATGCAGCCACTTTAGAAATAGTTCGGTAGTTCTTCAAGAAGTTAAATACAGAGTTACCATATCACCTAGCAGTTCCACTACTGGATATGTATCCAAGAGAAAAAAACATACACCTTCTCAAAAATTTGTGCATGAAGGTTTGTAGCAGCATTATTCTTAATAGCCTTCCCCAAAAGGAAACAACCCGAATGCCCATTGTCTGACGAATGGGTAAGCAACATGCGATATATCCGTGCAGTGTGATATCATCCAGCCATAAAACAGAATGAATTCTGATACATGCTACAACATGAATGAAACCCTGAGAATATGCTAAGTGAAATCAGCTACATACAAAAGAACACATTTTCTATTGTTCCACTTATATGAGGTGTCTAGGATAGGCAAATTCATTGATATAAAAAATAAAATTGACATTAACAGGGACTGAGGGTGGGGGGAGTACAGAGTTATTGTTTAATGGGTGTAGGGCTGCTGTTTAGGACAGTAAGAAAGTTCTGCACACCAATCATATTTGCAGAACATTGTGAATGTACTTAATGCCGCTAAATTGTAAACTTAAAAATGGTTAAAATTGTAAATCTTTTTACCACAATAAAAAAGGAAAGTATTGGGACGCCTGGGTGGCTCAGTTGGTTGGGCAGCTGCCTTCGGCTCAGGTCATGATCCCGGCGTCCTGGGATCGAGTCCCACATCGGGCTCCTTGCTCATCAGGGAGCCTGCGTCTCCCTCTGCCTCTGTCTGCCATTCTGTCTGCCTGTGCTCGCTCTCTCTCCCTCTCTCTCTCTGACAAATAAATAAATAAAATCTTAAAAAAAAAAAAAAAAAAAAAAGGAAAGTATTGGGACGCCTGGGTGGCTCAGTTGGTTGAGCGGCTGCCTTCGGCTCAGGTCATGATCCCAGCGTCCTGGGATCGAGTCCTACATCGGGCTCCTTGCTCGGCGGGGAGCCTGCTTCTCCCTCTGCCTCTGCTGCCACACGGCCTGCCTGTGCTCGTGCTCGCGTGCGCGTGCACGCTAATAAATAATCATTTAAAAAAAAAAAAGGAAAGTATTTTTTTAAAGAAATGAACTACCAGTATGTGTTATGATAAGGATGAATCTTAAGAACATTATTCTGCGTAAAAGAATTCAGTCACAAAAGACCACATATTGTATGGTTCCTTTTACTGAGATGCTCAGAATAAGGAAATCCGTAAAGAGAGAAGGTGGATGACTTGTAGCAGGGACCAGGCAGGGGGAGATAGCTGAAGAATGACATTCGACTGGTGATGAGTATGGGGTTTCTTTTGGGGATAATGAAAATGTTTTGAAATTTCACTGTGATGGGGTGCACAGGTGGCTCAGTCGGTTAAGCGTCTGCCTTCAGCTCAGGTCATGATCCCAGGGTTCTGGGATCGAGCCCTGCTTTGGGCTCCCTGCTCAGTGGGGAGTCTGTTTCTCCCTCGGCCTCCCGTCCTCTCTCATGAATAAAGAAAATCTTCAAATATTTTTTTTAAAAATTTCATTATGATGATGGTTGCACAAGTTTGTAGATATACTTAAAAAACATTGAATTAGGTACTTTAAATGGATGAACTGCATGGTATGTGAATTATATCTTAGTAATAAATTTAAATAGATAAGAAATAATTCATATTAATGGACAGATAGGTGGAAAATGTTACCTGAGAAAAGGTAAAATATGTGTAGCAATCTGTAAGTGGAATTCTAGAGAACAGAAAAGGGGGACATAGCAATATTTGAAGAGCAGTTGACCAGAAATTTCCAAAACAGATGCAAGATGCCATTTAGGTTCAGACAGCTCTCTGAATCCCCTCTCTGAATCCCAAGTGGGATTGATGCAGATTAAGGCATTCCTAAGTGTTTCATAGTGAAACAGACAAGAACTGAGAACAGACGAGCTCTAAGACAGCCCTGGGGGGGAATGACATGCGGCCTGCACATAAACAGCCCCGAGAGGCTGACCACCATCTTCTCAGCAGGCGCGTTGGAGGAAGGGAGACAGGAGGCCTCCCTGCAGGAGGGTGGCGGTTCCTGAGGTAGCGCGGCATTGTCCGTGGGAATAGACGTGAAGAAATAGAGGGACCCTGGGGAAGTGAGCTAGTGGTCATCCAGTGTCAGAAACACCTTCCCCAAGTCTGCCATGTGGAAGCTGGAGATCAGCTCTGGGTCCTCCCCCTTCACATCTGCTCTCCTCTACACCCGAGCCCTCTGGTGGAAGCACCAGTTACCATTTGCCCTTTCCACTTCCCCAGTTTTTCCTCCCTGCTTTGCAAAGAAAGGCGCGCCTCTCTCTCTCATTATACTGCTGTGTGTTGCCTTGAAACATAAAAAGCCTCTAAGCTGCAGAAGAAGGGATTATTTTGAAACGTTGGGATTGATGTACAGAGGATGAATTTCTGACAGCTAGGTGTTGGGCCCTTTTGCAAGTCACATGGGTTCCATAATTTGATGCATTACTAAAAATGACCTTTTTTGTTAGATCTGTATGTATTTTTTAAGCATATAACTCAGGAGGTTCTCAACGTAACATCAGAAAACCTTCTTCCACTCCCATTTACTTACTTAGGTGAATAATATTTTTTCAGGACAGATGTACAGTTATAAAAATAAAAACTAGGAAAAAAGTAGAAATAAAATTGTGGTTTCTGGATTCGTTAAGTAGCAAGGGGAAAAGTTTCATGTACCTCATTAAGATATTGTGTATGTTTTATACACACAGACACAACATAATTATGTTGTTTTGGTAGGTTGTGTACTTTTTATTAAAAAATTATTTTTATTAACATATAATGTATTATTTGCCCCAGGGGTACAGGTCTGTGAATTGTCAGGCTTACACACTTCACAGCACTCACCATATCACATACCCTCCCCACCGTCCATAACCCAGCCACTCATAAGTTATGTCCTTAAAACAATTTGAATTAACTCCATTCTGGGACACTTGAGTTTTGTATACACAAATTTTAGAATGTTGAATTTTAATTTATTTACATTCATAATTTAGAGAAGCCAGATAAAGAATAAATGCAAGACTTCCAAGCAGAAAAATACAGTACATCCAGAATTATTAAACAAACAAACAAACAAAAAACAATACATTGGCTTTTAAATTTTGTTTGTTTTAAAGATTTTATTTATTTGGCAGACAGCTAGAGAGGGAACACAAGCAGGGAAAGTGGGAGAGGGAGAGGAAGCAGTAGGTTTCCCGGTGAGCAGGGAGTCTGATGTGGGGCTCGATCCCAGAACCCTGGGATCATGACCTGAGCCAAAGGCCGATGCTTACCCGACTGAACCACCCAGGGGCCCTGGTTTTTAAATTTTGTTAGCAAAGTAAAGTAGAGATGCAGGTTCTTCATTGTTTCAGAAAAGTTTGCTTACTTTTCTAAAATGAATGATGGTAGGTATCACATAACTGTGGAATTTAGGTTACCTTGGATACATTCCAAAGAACAGTTTTTTCTTGATATATTAATAACAAAAAGTTCTAAATGCTAACTTACAAAATATACACAATGTTTTCAAAAGTACTTAGGAAGTTAGTACCTGAATAAAAATTTTTAAAGATGATTGGCAAGGCCAGCACTCAGGGCGGGGTAGGCCGGTACCTGGGGTACAGAATGTGGGTCTCCCTCTCAGCACCCTGCAGGTGCGCCTGTGGGAAATTAGAGTCAGCGCCTCTTTGAGCTAGGCACCCTCCTTGTCTTGCTCATCCTCGTCTCAGCCCTGATCACTAGTTTTATACAACATAAGGAATATGTGAAAAATTGGCTTTAGGAAAAATATTTGCAGGTATCATTCGCTTTTCATCACTGCTTTTAATTTGTTTTTTTAGGGTGGGATTAAAAACTCAGCCTGAATCAAAATGCCCCGAGTTGCTTGCCAATTACTGTGACATGTTGCTAAGAAAAACACCGTTAAGCAAAAAACTAACCTCCGAAGAGATTGAAGCAAAACTTAAAGAAGTGGTACATATATTTTTTTAAATTTCAGCAGTTTTATTTACCTCACTTTGAATTTGTGTTGTGCTTACAAGACTTTGTGTGGTAGCAGTTAATGTTGTGAAATTTTACAGTGTAAGATCTCTAGAGGGCAGTTATTTCTCTTCCTGGGAATTTTAATTCTGAAGCTTCTAGAAAAGGGAAATAGTGTTTAATTCTTCCCCCTTTCCTGATTCTTGTGAAGGAATTCATTGCTACCTCCTATTAAAGTAAAAAGAAAGGGAAAATGGAGCTGGTGGTGTTTGGAATGACAGTAGAGAGACTGGGGGTTTGTCACTTCTTTCTTTTTGTGGGAGCTCAAAATAGAGAACTAGAAATGAGTGAGTGTAGATAACAATTAATTGCTTTCATTTTTGTCTCCTGGTTGTTAGTGTCTTTTGCTATAAGCCCAGGAATACAAGGAAGAAAAAAAGAAGATAGAAAATACAGACAAGAAGGCTAAAGAGATTAGTGTCAGATCGAAGTGAAAAGGCTATACAGAAGAGAAATTTTGGGGAGAACCCTTAATTTTAATATGAAGTTTTACACTATTTATTAAATCTGAAAAGTTGATGTTTATAGGAACTAAAAGGTTATTCGATTAAAGTCTCAAATTTGCTAGCTTTTAAAGTAGCTAAGTAGGGTATTGGGACTGGTCATTTTTCTGAGATGGGTGGTTCAGTAAGCTTCTGTCTGTGTATGTTTGTGTAAATTTCTGGATTTTGACACTGGGGTTATAGAAGGGTCTCAGTGAGAGTTGGCTAAGAATATACATGAATTGAAAGTAACTTTGTTTTCTGTACAGCTGCTGGTACTTAAATATGTACAAAATAAAGATGTTTTTATGAGATACCACAAAGCTCATTTGACACGACGTCTTATATTAGACATTTCTGCTGATAGTGAAATTGAAGAGAATATGGTAGAGTGGCTACGAGTAAGTAAATTTTTATATATATATACATTTTTTAATATAGCACATGGTTCTTATGTGTGCTTAAGTAATACATTTTGGTGATGTTAGTGTCAAAGAAGTAGGGGACATTTTATAAGAGCATGGCATCCATTATATAAAATAAAGTGATATCTAATAAAGTACATTTTCTTAATAAAGACTTTTAGTGAGACACTTTTGCTCTTGGTTTGCTTCTGATGTTTTGCACTTTTGTATTTCCACTTTCGTTTGAATTGACCTTATTGAATGGGCTATGGGACAAATCATTGCAGTTTTAAGGTGTTTTCAGTACTAAATGCTTAACTGTAGGGATGTTTGTAAATAATGACTTTTATATAGCTAAAAGAACCAATACGTAAGAAATGATGGCTTATTTTGGGTAATAATGCTAATTTAATTATTAAATTCTCATATCAAAATATTTTAAGTCTGTCCTGTCAGTTCACTTAAATGGGATTTGAATTATATTACAATGAATGTGTTCTATTCATTTATATGATGTTAAGATACATAATACTATATTATATAAGATCCTACAGTATAAAGTTTTTATTTATATTTATATATAAAATATGTATTAATACTAATAAAGCTGTGTATTTTATATATAACTTTCATTTATATATATATTTCATAATATGCGTTTATAGATTACCCTGCTTTGCATACTACAGGATAGTAAAAATTAGTCTGCAGACTGACAGTGTGCAAAATGATCTTAATGTTAACAATTAGTGGGAAAAATTATTGTTTTTTGACTCTGAGAAATTTCTGTTAAAACATTAAAAACTCTCTTACCTATTAAAAAAATTTATAAAATGAGTATGTATTTAGTACATTGTAATTTAAGACATAAGAAACTATCAGAACTAAAGTACTGTTTCTCTGTAAAAATTTTAAGATTAATTAGAAAAATATTTGCAATTCATATGTCCAATGCCGTATCTAGAATACATAAAGAACTCTTAAAACTCCCCAGTAAAAAGACAGCTAAGGTACAAGTGGGCACAGAATTAAAGCAGACATTTCTTCCCAGAAGATACCCACATGGCCAGTGCATGTATCAGAGATGTTGGACATCATTAGTCATTAGGGAAACACAAATCAAAACCGTAGTGAAATATTTTTTTTACTTTACTCCTGCTTTTCTCCCACTTACCTTTACTCCCACTGCGGTAGCTAAAATTAAAAAGAAAACAAGTGTTGGCACAGAAGAAGAGAAGTTGGAACCTTACGTGCAGCTGGTGAAACTATAAATCAGGGCAGCCTCGGGGGAGAACTGCTGTTTTGTTCTTAGAAGCTGGACATGCAGTCAGCCCAGCAGTTCTCCTAAGTAGTTGCGCTCAAGAGAAATGAAAGCATATGAGCCACGAGAACCTTGTCTGTGAATGTTCACAGCGGCGTTCCTGATAAGAGCCACAACATGCAAACAACCCACAATGCCGATCAGCTGATAATGGATAAACCAAATGTGGTTTAACCATACAATGGGACGATACTTAGTAGTCACAAGAAAAGCAGTCCTGACACACACTACAACACAAGGGAACACGGAAAACACTGCTGAGTGAAAGAATTGGGTTACAAAGACCACTCGGGATATGATTCCACTAAAACAAAATGTCCACAGTGGCCAAATGCACAGAGACCCTGTAAATACACTAAAACGTACTTAATTGTACACTCCGAAAGAGTGAGTGTTGTGGTAGATGAGTTGTATCTCAGGGAAGGTGTCCTGTAAATGAAGAGCAGTTTGAGCAGCCCGGGCCTTCGTGTCATGTGACTTAGAATGAGCATCTTTTTGTGCCTTGGAGAGTCCTCAGGCGCCCCCCACCCCACCCCGTGAGCCTGGGTCAGCTTCCAGCCTATTGTCATTCGGGCTCTCAGTGTTGTGAAAGTGTTTGCTTGTGTCTCTTCTCCTGGGGCATCTTGGTTTTTTTTGTTACTGCTCCTTTCCCACTTAAATTGGTAATTTACCTTCAGTAAATTAACCTTGAGGTAACTCACCTTAGTTCCCTTGCCTGTATACTTCGCATATTCAACATTCGGCAAGTTGGCCTCAGTCAGCTCTTCTAGAATGCTGTTTATGTTCTAGTAGATTATTTTCATTCCCAACTGTATTTTTATTTCTGTGGTGTCCTTTCATCATTGTCATTACCCACGTAGCTCTCTTGATCAATTTTTCTTAGCCATTTTTGGTTATCCATTTTTATAAAATGTCAAGTGGATTTATCCCTAGAAGGCAAGGATGCAACAAAACTGTAAGCCTTGCTTTCTGTGGATAAACCGGGTTCACAGATGACTAAGATTTTGAAAAAAAGTGTCGTAATCGGTCATGACAAAAGTGTCGTGATTGAGAATAAATTTGTCCTTTCAAACTTAATACATGGTGATAATGGAGAGTTGACGCGTGTTGTTGAGGGACTAGTGTTACTGAACTCTACTGTGGTGACTGATTCATGTCAATTGGAATCATGCAGAGAAAGCCTGGGTGACCTGTACTGTCATTTAGTTTTTAAGAATCAAATTTAATACGTATTAGAATATAAATATTCTAATAAAGGGGAATGATTTTATCTTAAAGCATCTAAGACTCAGTTTTCTGTTAAAAGTTTTTCCTAATAGTATATCAGATTATATATTATTATTCATTACCTCTTTTGTCTTTGCCTTTCATAGGAAGTTGGTATGCCAGCAGATTATGTAAACAAGCTTGCTAGAATGTTTCAGGACATAAAAGTATCTGAAGATTTGAACCAAGCTTTTAAGGAAATGCACAAAAACAATAAATTGGCTTTACCAGGTATTATTTTATAATTATGTGTGTGTGTATGTATATATACATATATATACATATATATGTACATATATATACCTTTTTAAAGAGAATATTTTTGTTTTCCAGTATATTAAAAATGAACCCTAGCTGTAACAGATACAAAGATGTTACAAAGTCCACATTCCTTGAAGACATCCAGCAGAACAGAATTTAACAGAATTTAGATTTGCTAATCCTTATTTTTATGTATGTATATATTTTAAAAATTATTTTTAAATTATTTTTTAAGATTCATTTATTTATTTCAGAGAGAGAGCATGAGCAAGAAGGGCAGAGGGAAAGAGAGAGAGAATCTCAGGCTGACTCTGTTGAGCTCAGAGCCCAACATGGGGCTCAGTTTCATGACCCTGAGGTCATGACGTGAGCTGAAACCTAGAGTCGGACGCTCAACTGACTGTGCCACCTAGGCGCCCCTATTTTTTATTTCTTCAAAATAGCCCCAACTCACTGCCTGAGCTTTACATGTTTCAGGCCAGTCACGTGAAGAGACTAACTTACGTCTTTTTTATTTTAAGATTTTATTTATTTACTTTTAAGTAGGCTCCACACCCAGCATTCATGAACCCATGACCCTGAGATCAAGACCTTGGCTGAGACCAAGAGTTGCTTCACCGACTGAGCCACCCAGGCATCTTCTCCCCCTCCTTTTTTTAAAGATTCTATTTATTTATTTGAGAGCGAGCACCAGCAGCAGGGTGGGGGAGGGGAGAAGCAGACTCTCACCTGAGCAGGGAGCCCATCCTGGAGCTCAATCCCAGGACCCTGGGACCATGACCTGAGCAGAAGGCAGAGGCTTTAACTGACTGAGCCTCCCAGGTGCCCCTCCCTCCCGTTTTTTTGGTTTTTTGTTTTTTTAAATTTTTTACATAGTCTCTACAGCCAGTGCGGCATTCAAACTCATAACCCCAAGATCAAGAGTTGCATGTTTCCCCAGCTGAGCCAGCCAGGTGCCCCTCTAATCCTTATTATAATTATTTTTTTTTCTAAAAGGACGCTTCGAACAAAATGTTTAGGGTTTTGTTTCGTTTTCACCAATGCTTACCCAGTGTTTATGTATTTGTTTCTTTTTAATTTTATACATTTTCAAGATTATTTATTTCATATTTTCTGATATTCTTGCCTATAGCTGATTCAGTTAATATAAAAATTCTGAATGCTGGGGCCTGGTCAAGGAGCTCTGAGAAAGTCTTCGTCTCCCTTCCTACTGAACTGGAGGATTTGATACCTGAAGTAGAAGAATTCTACAAAAAAAATCACAGTGGTCGAAAATTACATTGGCATCATCTCATGTCAAATGGAATTGTAAGTAGATGCTGTGTTAGTTCTGATACTGGTTTGACTGAAAGTACCAGCGCTCCACATTAGAGTTGCTGAAACAGAGAGATGTTTGTCTGTTTTGTAGGTGCAAGTTTAAATGGGTCTAGGGGGTCCAGTCCACGGAGTTGTAGGACGTGGGCTTCTGGTTGTAGCAGTGCACTTCCAGTATTGCTCTTGTCTGTAGATCCAGTATGATCCTCACTGTGGCTGTCTTCCAGCCCAGCAGGAAGGGAGAGATGAGGGTGTGCCTTACTTCAGGAGCAACTCCTAGAAGTTGCCCCATCATTTCCACTCACATCTCATTGGACAGAACGGGTCACATGACCACACTTTGTCCCAGGGAGAGCTGGAATTTGAGCCTTTATTCTGGATAGTCAGTAAGATCTGCTAAAATTTTGATTACCATGTAAGAAAGGAAGAATGGGTACTGGAAGACAGCTAGCAGTCTTTTTCATGTTTAATCTCATGGAAGGGAGAGTATGGTAGGGAGATGGTAATCATTCTGAAAAGAGTCTCATCTTGATATTATTTTGTCTGTCATAGATAACATTTAAGAATGAAGTAGGTCAATATGATTTGGAGGTCACAACGTTTCAACTGGCTGTGTTGTTTGCATGGAACCAAAGACCCAGAGAGAAAATCAGCTTTGAAAATCTAAAACTTGCAACTGAACTCCCTGATGCTGAGCTTAGAAGGACTTTATGGGTTTGTTTTATGTTTTTTGTTTTTAAAGTTATATCCAGTCACAAGGCAGGAAATACTTGATGGCTTGCTTACAATAAATTTTTGAATTCATAACACTCTGAAAATGACCTTTAACCCAGAAATAATACACTTATGAGAGATGTTAGTGCACTAATGAGGTATTCGTGGTAAGAAAGAAATTGAAAATAAGCAAGTTACCGAGATGGTGAAAGACAAGAAAGAAAGAAAAAAAAAGTGAGAAAGACTGAGTTGGTGTTAAACGTTACCTGCGAGAAGTGTGACCAGAGATTTCATACTGAGAATGTGTTCAAAGATTTTATCATGACCAAAAATGTAAGAATTAGAAAACTTTGGTCTTTTTGAGAGCCTGCAAAATGTCCTTGTTAGTCTCGTGCCCACAGCTACATTTTACCCTTACTCCACAGACCTCTTGAAAGTTCCAGAACAATAATTGTCTAGAGGGAAAGAGCTGGCAAATTGCTTTTGCAGTGATCGCCTCTGACCAATCCCTCTGGTCTCTTGTCCTGCCGTAAAGAGATCATGTATTGCTTCCTTCCTCATAACGAGCTCCTGCTCCTTTTCTTTTCCCAGTGAACATTTACACTGTTACATTCATTGAGGTACCATGTAAAAGTTGAATTGTGATTTTGTGCTTATAATTTGTTCTCACCTCTTTTAGTCACGTTGAAGAATTGCTCTTTGTGTTCCATACTGTTAATAGATTTTGTTTTCTTTTTGTTCTACATAGTCTTTAGTAGCTTTCCCAAAGCTCAAGCGGCAAGTTCTATTATATGAACCTCAAGTCAACTCACCCAAAGACTTCACGGAAGGCACCCTCTTCTCAGTGAACCAGGAGTTCAGTTTAATGTAAGGTTGACGGTTGATGTAAAATACAAACACCTTGTTTGAATTTTGGTGATTTATTGTTAGCACAATAATTATTTTCCTTACATTATATTTAAAACAACATTCTAGGGTTATGCCATCTAGTTGTTTATTAAACATGGTAATGAACTAGAGATGCTTCTTATTTGTCAAGGATACATTTTGGTGTGTGATTATGTTGCTTTTCATCTTTAAACATCCTGTTGAACTCTAAAGAAGCTTCATTCACACAAAGCATTTTTCCCCCTAAGATCCATTTAGATGATAACGCTGAACAACAGCCCATATATCTTCCAACTGTCTAAGCACGTTTAGGGCAGTATAAAGTATATTAGCTCTGTTATTACAGGGAATGCTGTCACCCATACATAATAGCTGAGCTTTTGTTGTGTTTTGGGAAAATCAGATGCTTCATTGTAAACAAAGCTGTATGTTGATTATTCGTTACTTTTCCTTTAGATAGTTCTGGAGAGTAATTTTCAGAATTTTTCTAAATCTTTTTTTTTTCAGACATTATTGCTATAGTATGATGTCAAAAGGCCTTCAACTGTAAAATACGTGATTCAATGTTTTTTTGCAGAAAAAATGCTAAAGTTCAGAAAAGGGGTAAAATCAACTTGATTGGACGCTTGCAGCTCACAACAGAAAGGATGAGAGAAGAAGAGAATGAAGGAATAGTTCAACTAAGAATACTTAGAACCCAGGTTTGTATAAGGCGGAGTGTCTATACTTTGACAAATTTTTGTTCTTTTTTTAATCTTCAATTTTTTTTTTAATTTAAAAGCATGTAGGCATTCAAACTGTTTGTAACAAAGAGCTAATTTTCATTTTGCTGGAATTTAAAAATTGTATTGCTGGCGTTCTCTTAGCTGCTGAAAGAGATGTCTTTGATGGCCTCTGGTAGATTGTATTGGTTGGGCAAAACCTTGGTTTTTTGAGTTGTGTCTCCCTTTGATCACAACTGACTAAACGTGTGTCCACAATAAGTTATAATTCCAGGATTGAAGTATTTAAACTCTTATTTAATTTTAAGACATATAATTCCATTGTAATATGAAATTAGGGGATACTTTTGAAAACTTTTTTTTTTTTTAAAGTTTTGTTTATTTATTTTTAGTGGCCTCCACACCCAGTGTGAGGCTCGATTTCCTGACCCCAAGATCAAGAATCTCATCCGCTTCTGACTGAACCAGCCAGGTGCCTCTACATTCACAAACTGTAAAGCTAGGGTTGTGGTCCCTTCTGAACACGATAAAGAACACTTATGGCCAACTGATGTGTGACCATTTTAACTTTAGAAATATTCTTATTAGGGATGCCTGGGTGGATCAGTCAGTTAGGCCTGTGCGTTTGGCCCAGGTCATGATTCCAGGGTCCTAGGATTGAGTCCTACGTTGGGCTCCTTGCTCAGCGGGGAGCCTGCTTCTCCCTCTGCCTGTCCCTGCTTGTGCTCAGTCTCTGTCTATCTCCATCTCTGACAAATAAGTAAAAATCTTAAAAAAAAAATATATTAAAACCAACCACTTTCACTGTTTTTATATAATATTTGAAACTGTTGGCCAATTCAGTAAATATGAAACAAGAGGAAGATTAAAATAGTTCATCACTTCTAGATCATCTAGTATGATAAGGGAGCAGAGAAAAGATGAATAAAAACCTGGTGCTTTTCTATTTAGCAATAAATAAATTTTAAAAACTTAAGAGAAAGGGGCACTTGGGTGGCCCAGTTGGTTGAGCATCTGACTTGATTTTGGTTCCGGTCATGATAGCTGGGTTGTGAGATGGAGCCCCATGTTTTGCTCCCCGTTCAGCAGAGAGTCTAGTTGAGATTCTTGCTCTCTGCCCCTGCCCCCACTTGTATGCTCTCCATGTCAAATTAATTAATTAACTAATTAATTAAATCTTTAAAAAAAACTTAAAAGAAAAAATAAAAGAAGAAACCATAGAATTCATAGGCACTTCTTTAAAAATTTGTGGCCCTTGACTGAGAGTCAAAAGGAGATTTGAGTAAATAGAAAGATCTTGCTCTTTTTCTCTTACTAAAATGTTTAATTGAGGTTAATGTCCATGTAGAATGCACATTTCAGAGGTTGTCAGTGAGTTTTGGTAAGTGTACGTACCTGTGTGACCATCACCTCGGTTAAGATACAAAAGAGGTTTCTGTCAGTCCAGCCACCCCCCTCTGACCCACCAGATTCCTCTCACCACTTCCTAGTTGTGCCTGTTTCAAGTCTCCACAGAACCAGAATCAGACCATGAATGTACTTATGCTGTCTAGCTTTTTTTTTTTTTAATGATTTTATTTATTTATTTGACAGAGTGAGATCACAAGTAGGCAGAGAGGCAGGCAGAGAGAGAGGAGGAAGCAGGCTCCCCGCTGAGCAGAGAGCCTGACGCGGGATTCGATCCCAGAACCCTGGGATCATGCCCTGAGCCGAAGGCAGAGGCTTTAACCTAATGAGCCACCCAGGTGCCCCTGTCTAGCTTCTTTTGCTCAGCATGCAGTAACCACATTCTTCAAAGTTAAGACTGAATTGCTTAAGGAGTCAATTTTCCCCGTATAAAGAGTTGACTGGGAATATTTTGGGAATTTTACAAATTGATTCTCAGTTTTATGAGAATAAATAAATGAGAGTGTTTGAGATCCTTAAAAAAAAAAAAGAATAAGGTGTAGGTAGAACTTGCTGTGGCAAACGTGAACATTTACGAAAATACTGATGAAAATAACAGTGTAATAGGCAGATAGGTGGAGGAAGGTAGCTCAGAATTGAACCTACCGTATAAGTATAGACAAACTTTGGAATAAAGGAAATAATTCCCATGGGCCATGAAAAGGGAGTTCAGTAAGAGATTTTGGGGAGTTTCACATTTGGGGTGAAAATCAGGTTATAGTCCGAGTTTTTGGCTACACCAGGATAAATTCCAGGTGGATTAGAGTTGAGCAGGTGTCGTCATTCTATAGGATGTGCAGAGAAAATGAAGTTTTCCTGCTTTGTCTTAAACTGGTGGCTAATGACGTGCATTCCAGTGACCCGGCTGTCCCTTTAGGTAGTGCTCATCTTTCTCATTTCTCCGTGATCTTCCTCCCCCCAGCCCCACTCTCTGCTGTTTCACAGATGGCGTCTGGAAGGATTGAGGGTGAGAAGAATTCACTTGACCTCATAGTGATAGTGAAGGGATCGTCCTATCCTTGTGACAGTGTCCTGGGTTCTTGCATTTTTTGGGCAATGCTTTATCTGTCAGCTGCGGGAACCTGACTTCCTTGCTATCTGCTGCTCATGTCTGTAGCACATGAGCTCTGGTTCCTTCTTTCACCAGTCGGTAAGGACCACCTGGGTTCTCCCCACTCTGCCTGCCTGTCCTCTGTTCTCAGGGAGCGCTGCGGCTCTCTCGACTCTGCCCCATCTCCCACGGGGCCCCTTGGCCTGTGTGCCCTCTGTCACTTTCACCTGCTGCTGCGGGGTTACTCTCGCCTGGCACTAAAGGCTTTCGGGGGTTTTGTTAGCTCTGCACCCCTTCTGCGCCACGTGGGAACCAGAGGAGGGTCGGGAGTGCCTGCTCTTTCCGTCCTGTCAGGCCCCGTCTTGCAGTGACGTCTGGGTAGTAAGCACAGACCAGGGCCAACGCCCGTGCTCTGTTCTTGTCCCTCCTCGAACACAGCCCCCTCCCTCACCTCTGCCAAAGCTTGAGACTGGTACAGTCAGTTCTCCTCCCTGGCTCCCACGTCAGATGTTCACGTGCCTGAAGGCTTCCCCCTTCGTTCTTTCTTTCTGCACCCTTGACATAAGCCCCTCATCGAGACCCCGGCATCTGGATACATTGAGGATGGGAGGACTTCACTGACCTCCCTGTGACGGGGGAAGGATCCTCATGTCTCTGCCGGGGAAGTGGAAGAGTCGTTTCTCTTGCCGAACAGTTAACTCGCGTTCAAGTCTGTTACCACTTTGCTGCAAAACTCCACTTGGAATGTGAAAAGCCAATATTACCTCTCATTTGCTGCTTTCATTTCTTTTTTAACAAATTCTGTTCTCTACCAAGGCAGCCAGATGCCTTTGGTTTGCTAAAGACAGGGTTCATGTGGGAAAAGCAAAGGAGAGAATATATAATAATTTTTGAGTTATCCGTATTACAAGCTTAATAGTAATTAAGTCATCAACAACTATTTATAAAATTGACTTAGGGGAGGGGTGCCTGGGTGGCTCAGTGGGCTGGAGCCTCTGCCTTCGGCTCAGGTCATGATCTCAGGGTCCTGGGATCGAGTCCTGTGCCGGGCTCTCTGCTCCACGGGGAGCCTGCTTCCTCCTCTCTCTCTGCCTGCCTCTCTGCCTACTTGTGATCTCTGTCTGTCAAATAAATAAATAAAATCTTAAAAAAAAAATTGACTTAGGGGAACAGTGCTTCCTGTAGGAAGTCAGAATACTTCATTGAATCAGTAAACTGAAGGTAATATTTATAGCAAATACAATTTATTATTCTGGTAGTTACTGATGTTTAAAAGTAGACACCAGGGCGCCTGGATGGCCCATTGGGTTAAGCCTCTGCCTTTGGCTCAGTTCATGATCTCAGAGTCCTGGGATTGAGCCCCGCATCAGGCTCTCTGCTCAGCAGGGAGCCTGCTTCCCCCCCCCCCCCCCCCCCCCCTCTCTCTCTGCCTACTGTGACCTCTCTCTCTCTCAAAAAAAAAAAAAAAAAAAAAAAATCTAAAAAAAAAAAAACAACAAAAAAAAAACGTAGACACCAGCTGGCATGAGCTTCTATACACAAATAACTCTGCCTACAATGGAAAAGGGAGTATAAGGGGTTTGTTGTATCTTAATTTGTCGCTTAGCATAATACCAGGTTACATACATACTGTGTTCACAGGTCAGAGAAATTTTTTAAATGTGCATAGTGTGGAAAAAAGTAATAGAAGGAAGTATCCCAAAACATAAGGTGTGGTTTTCTGCAGAGAGGTTATGGGCAATTTTGCTTTTCCTCATTTTTCAAAATCTTTACAATCAGATTTTCTTTTATAGTGAGTGAAAAAAAAAAGGATTTTTATTTAAGTAAAAGCTGCTGGTCTCAAGATTAATCTAGTGGTTAGTCTTTTGGATGGATGTTGGAAAGAGAATCAAATACATAAAAAGTCATGTTTTGTTGTTTTACTTAAAATTTAATCTATTAATGTTCTTTCATTTGTATTTTTCTTTTAGGAAGCTATCATACAAATAATGAAGATGAGAAAGAAAATTAGTAACGCTCAGCTGCAGACTGAATTAGTAGAAATTTTGAAAAACATGTTTTTGCCACAAAAGAAAATGATAAAAGAGCAAATAGAGTGGCTAATAGAGCACAAATACATCCGAAGAGACGAGTCCGACATCAACACTTTCATATACATGGCGTAATCTTGAATATCGTGGACAACATTAAGAACCCAAATTTCAGAGTGCTTGGGCAGAAAGTTATAACAGTTTGTGCTGGAGGAAGGTTTATTTGGACTTTGATTACATAAATATTAAAATCTCTGCCTTACCTGACAAAACAACTCTATTTTGCCAATCACATTAGCTAGCATGATGGCATCCCCTTCATGTTGCACACTCTGTAACAGCATGCTGTTTTGTAGAGAAGCTTGCATTCATGAAGAGCCCCCGATGAACTTGTAAAAGTAAACTTGATTTCTATCCACCGGAAGAAATAGTTGGGAAGGGTGAGGGCGGGGTTCTTGTTGCTTTTCTTTTTCCCCCTCTTTTTTTTTTCCCTCTCTTACAAAAATGTACTTGTGCAAGGAAGGATCTTCAGATATTCGTGCACTGAATAATGCTGTTATGTTTTGTTTTTTAAAATGCAATTAAAACTAGAAATAGCACTCTTGGTTTCTTTTGATCAAAAGAGGGAGCTGGTCTACACAACGTTGGGGGAGGGCAGATGTAGGTGAGAAGATAAGTATTTAATAGTATAACACTATTTGTTCACGCCCTGCTTCAGTGTAGTAACTGGATTTAATGGTGACCTGAAAATGATACCAGATTTTTCCAATTTACCTATGTTGGCTTTCTTTAAGCAGGAGACTGCTACTTCAGTTGTTTGTTGTCAAATAAGGAGTTTTAAAATCTTATGTGGCTGGAGAGCTTGTTTTGAAAAACTGAAGCTTATATTAATTGGTTGCTCCAATTGCTTAAAAAAAAATGTGTGGAGATAGGTCATTTCAGCTGCAGAGTCGAAATAGCAAAACAGATGTTAAGTGTGTTCACCAACACACTTAATGTTTGTATACCTAATTTTATCATGCCAAATTTATTATCTCCAAATTTATTAAAAACAAGGCAGAGATCTATTCTCATATAATACAGTTACGTACCTGATCTCTTGATCTGTAGCATAGAAATACTTCATCTGATGTATAGCCTCAGGTTTCTGGAAAGGAAGACATTCTGTTTTAGAAAGGAGCGAGTGTCCGCTGCGGAGGGGGAGGACAGGAACCACAACACAAGACCTGAAAAGTGTAAGCAGAATTGTTGCAGTCCTAATACGAGCAGGAAACTTGCCAAATATATGTACATATATAGTTCTATATTTTAAAAATAAACGTTTTTAAAATGTTCAGAAGGCAACACTTACTCTGTTCCTTTCAGTCGATCCAAAGTAGCAACTTCCTGGTTGCCAGCAAGTGAATGCCCAGAGGGCTGCGGAGCGCAGGGCTGGAGGACACGGGCAGTTCAGCGGAGAAAAGCGCATTCCCCGTGGGCAAAGAGTGGCTCCACGTGGACTTTTATTCATTATGCTGCATGTTCCAAGTTTTTTGGCAAATACTTTTCTATCTTGTTTGATACTAAGTCATACTTTAAACCTCTGATTTTGGAAATAGTAGGAAGCGGAGGCTGATCTTTGGAAGGTGCACGGTAGACAGTATTACGCAAGGTGCTTCCAGGAGCATTCCGTGGAATCTGTCCCCAGTCCCAAGAGGGGTTGTGAGCCGCCTGCCGAAAGGAAGGAGCGCAAATTCCAAACATTGAAGGTGTCGCTGGATACATTCACATGCCTGTCCTGAAACTCCTCATAGGAAGTTGGAATTCTGTTTCTAATTTTAAATCGTGCATTCAGCTCTGGGGGCAGCATGTGTCTGTTGTCAGAGTGTATCGTGGTGAATTAAACTAAACTGATGACTGCGGACGACGGATGCATTTGAAATTAAAAGAAAAAATAATTTGTAATAATTGTGGCCCTCACATTTTACAAATAGTTCAGGATCAGGCATCTTTGCTTGTCCCATGTAAGAATGCCCATGGGAAAACAGTAGAGGGAGAACTACAGGTCATTTTTTTTAAAGTTTCAGATTTGTTGCTTTAAACTATAATTGTTCTCAGAACGTGTTTGGAATTTCTCATCTTTTTGGTCATTTAATTTAAGAATGAGAGCCATGATGTTTTGATTTATAAAGGAAAATTTAATGCAAAAGTGGGTAATTCTAAATCCATGGCAAAGTTTTCTATTAAATTTTATAAATTTTTTAATAGCTAATTATGTCCTAATTGTATTTTGGGAAATTGAACAGCAGCAAATATTGTAGACTTAACAGTTTTGATCTTTTTCTTTTTTTTTTGTTATGTATAAAAAAGTTTAACCACTTTTTGATGTTTATGAAAACAATTTAGTTGACAAGGTGCCTATACCATTGTTACGTTTTCTTTAAATGTGTCTTGACAGTAGATTTGTTAATTAAAAAAAAAAAGAATCTGATAAAAACCTTACCAGCAATTAGCAAAAAGTATAGAATCACAATTAGTATCCTTTATGAGGTCCCTTCTCTCTGGTTGCACTTAGCAGTGGTGCTGTCTGAGCAGGGATGAACACTGACATAGTTCGGGGAGAAGAATCCAGGCCACCAGGAGTAGGGCAATGGGACGCACCACAGGTTAATTTAAGCTGTGAACACTAATGTAAAAGATGGAGCCATCTGGAAAATACCAACCTTTGTTGTCCTCTTTGCCAGAGTAAGTAGATATGAAGCAAAACTTACAAAGTAAAAAGAGCAATTTTAAGGCTTACAATGAGATAAATATTAAGACATTAGGGTTCCAGTGATTTAATGAGGATCTTGAAATAAATTATGAAGTCTTCCAATTTTTACATTTATTGGAGGGGTCCCTTGCATTGTCAACCTGTTTAAGTCTCTTACGCTTATTTTGTGCATAAATGTTACAGTTTCCAAAAATGTTAGCTTTCTTGTTTTTACTTTTTATTGAATTTAATATAAAATATGACCAGAGTAGTTACAAAGTATTTTGCATTATTTGCAGTAGGATGTCATTAGCCTGGCTCACAGGGCAAATTTTAAAAATTCAATTTGGGTGAAAGATTTGCTAGTTTTCCAGAAAGATTTGCTATCTTAAACTCAAGCTGGTTTTTTCTATTTTCATGTAAATGACTGGGATGCTATCTTATAAACTCTTCCAAGGTCATGTTTGTGAAATCCACATTACATGAGAGCTTTCCTGTCATCTACACTATATATGTCGTCTGGAGTGTTGAACAAATTTGCGTTCCTAAGTTGTACTCTATCTTCGTATGGTATATACGATTTTGAATGTGTGCCACTACATACTGAGATGATAATGCTGTACAATTTTAAATGGTAGCAGTTTCTGTATGCAGTAGGCTGAAATATTTTGATGAACTGCTTAATTTTTGGATTTTATTTTTTAAGTTGTATAATTTATTTTCTTGCAAAATAAAAATGTAATATAAAAGCTTTCACCTATCCAGAAAATGTTGATGTTCTATTAAGTAGTTTTTAACAGTTAAATTTGTGTAATAAGTATATTTATACATTTCATGGTAACATGGTAAATCTTAACCTTAGGAGTCAGAAACCTGAAAAGTAACCCACTAATTTCTTTCAGATTTCAAATTTTAGTCCATAGTGAAAGCTGTCAGGAATGTAGCATTCTCAGCGATGATAACAGCCCCAAGTTACCATGCCTGGAAAAGAGAAACTATTTCAGACCTGAAAGTGACTAATGCATTCCTTCATCAGGTTAGACGGCCCATGTCATAACCACAACTTGAATTTTATATCAGATAAAAGTAAAAAAAAAAATACATATATAAAACAAATGATGACATGTTTTGTGTTTTTTTGAAAATTGGTGAAATATTTCTATTTCGAAGCTAGGGATAGTTTAGTGAGAAGGTCGTGAGGATGGACAGTGTCTTCCACGAAGTACCATAGACTGGGTGGCTTACCAGCAACAGAACTGTTCCTCACAGTCACGGAGGCTGGAGGTCAAAGGAGGAAGGTGCGGGCGAGGTCGGCTCTGGCGCGGCTCTTCTTCCATGGTCCGCTGCTGCCTCCTGGTTGCTTCCTCAGTGGAAGAGGGAGGGCTGAGAGGACTCCCAGGGTCTCTTTTATAAGGGCACTGATCTTATTCGCGAAGACCCTGCTTCCTGAACGAATCACCTCGCCAAGCCAACGCCCCACCTCCAAATACCATCCGTTTGGGGATTAGGTTTCAGCCTCTGATTTGGGGGGGGAGACATAGACCTGTTGGACTTCATAATGACCCTGGGCTCAGCTTGGGACTTGAACAGGGATTGGGGCGGGGTGGGGAGTGGATGGGAAAGTATTCACTGAAACCTAGAGATAGATTTACCATTAAACGTAAGCTTCTGGGCCCCTTACTTGCTCAGGTGCCCCCCTCTGGGCCCTAGGAGTTTTGTGTCGGCAAACCTCACCCCATTTCATGTTATTACACTGGGCAGTTTGGTTTTGGGGGGCTTTTTGTTTTGTTTACAAATTGAAGGTTTGTGACAACCCAGCTTCATTTTCCCATAGCTTTTGTTCTCTTTGTGTCTGAATCACATTTTGGTGATTTTTGCAATCTTTGAAACTTCCGCTATATTTGTTACGGTGATCAGTAATCTTTGATGCTACTTTTGTAATGGTTTCAGGTACCGCAAAGTGCACCCACGTAGGGACGGCAAACTGAACCGATACATGTCATTTGTGTTCGGACTCCCACCAACTGACTGTTTCCCCACACCCTCTCCTCAGGCCTCCCTATTCCTGACACAACAGTACTGAAATTGGACCAGTTAAGCCTACAGTGGCATCTAAGTGTTCAAATGAAGGAGTCGCACATCTTTCACTTTAGACTGGAAGCTAAGAGTGATTCAGCTTGGTGAGGGCGTGTGGAAATGGAGACAGGCCAAAAGCTAGGCCTCTTGGGCCAAACAGCCAAGTTATGAACAAAACAAAGTTCTTATAGGAGCAAAAGTTATGAACAAAGACAAAGTTCTTACAGGAAATTAAAAGTGCTCCTCCCGTGAACACAGGAAGGATAAGAGAGCCAAACAGCCATACTGCTGATACACAGAAAGTTCTAGTGGTCTGGATAGAAGATCAAACCAGCCATAACTCCTAGAAGCCAAAGCTGGTCCAGGGCAAGGCCGTAGCTCTTCAATTTTGTGAAAGTGGAGAGAAGAAGCTGCAGAGGTCTGAAGCTAGCAGAGGTCAAGTGCAAGTTACCGCGATGAGTGCCAATGTTCGAGAGGCAGCAAGTTCTCCAGAAGAATTAACAAAGGTGGTTCCGCTTACCAGATTTTCAGTGTGGATGACCCGGCCTCCTCCTGAACGAAGGTGCCATCTAGGACTGCGACAGCAAGAAAGCAGAAGTCCGTGCCTCAAAGCTTCAAAGGACAGGCTGACTTGGGAGCCGGCACAGGCAGCTGGTGGCTGAGTTGGAGCCAGTGCTCACGCACCACTCCCGGATACCTAGGGCCCTTTAAGAACCATGCTAAGGGGCGCCTGGGTGGCTCAGTGGGTTAAAGCCTCTGCCTTTGGCTCAGGTCATGATCCCAGGGTCCTGG